AACTCGAATAATACAATTTTTTTAAATATTTCAACAGAATAATCATGACATTCGGTTAGTATTTTTTGAATACTCTAGAAATTTCAGTTAGTATTTTTCGAACCAATAGAATTAGCTGTTCATAGATTTGGCTGGTTTTTTGTGTTCGCGAATATTCTTCTTTTATTTTTCCGTACTAAGATGTTTGAGAATATTCAAGTTTATGTATGTTTCCATGTAAGTCCATAAAACAAAATATTTTAAAAGTTACGATAAAATGAACTTATTATTTTACGGAAACATACAAAAACTTAAATGTTCTCAAAACGACTAAAAAATCTGGCCGGTTTTTTGCAACTAAATATTATTTCCGTGGTCAGTTATCGAGTGCGATCGCACTCGCTTCCCAACCAAGCCTGTATCATCTATTCAATTTGCAACTGTAGAAGAAGTTATACAGTATTATCTTTACTTACGTGAGTCCAAATTATCAACTTCTCTCAAAAACTTAGTTTGTTGTCCAAACAAAGGTTCTACATTTACACCGAATTGTCCAGATTCAGGAGAGAACTGCTGCGTTATATCAAAGCTGAAGGTTTCATGGGAACTTGGTGGATACAGAACTTGTGACATACAATGCGTTTTAAGGTTAGTAGTATTTATGAAATCTTAATCTAAATTAGCTTTACAGTTATTTAATGTCTTATTTTTAGATAAGAAGTCAAGGCTGTAGCAATGAAATACAAAAAGCTGCAATTGCTAAGAAACAGATCAACACCAGGAGCAATAATAGATAGAGAGAACTTCTTAATAGAATCTAAAAGGGTATTCTGGTTAGGACATGACATACAAATCATGATTGATGAAATAAAAATGGATAGAAAAAGAACTGAAAAAAGTAAATGTATGGACATTATGTTCTTGAAAATGCAGAAGGAAAAAAGACAAGGTTGTCTAGCCATTTCTGATACTTGCTTCATAAAGCCTGCAAAAGGATCTGAAAAAAAAAATTTTAAAAGGGAATCATCAGAAAAAATAGGAGATTTAGATACAACTTATAACTCAGAAGGTGAGGTTAGTGATTATTCTTTAAGCTCAGAATGCCTCGAGTCTGTTACAAGTGAGTCAGATGACAATTCTCATAAAGAAGAGCAAAGTTTATTACTGCCTAAAGATATTTTAAAGCATGCAGCACTAACTGCTGTAGGAGAAGGTCTTTCTATCAATCAGCACACTGCTATCATAAGCAGTGTAAGCTATTTCAGGAGGAGAAATAAATAAATTTGTTTTGTCCAAATCATCATCTCTTCGAGCTGTAGATAAAGTAATAAATTTGGAAGTCCACACAATTAGACAGTATATAAAAGACTTGGCTGACTCCAAATGTAAGCTGATTTCTAATCACTTTGATGGGAAAATATTTAGAGAATATACAGATAAAGTTTCAGTTACAAGAGAAAGATTAGAAGTACTAGTAAAAGTGAATGGGAAAACTGAGCTCCTAGGTATTCCTCATATTGAGTCAGGTTCTGGGGAAAATCAGTTTAAAGCAGTTTATAATCTATTAGATTCTTTTGGCCTTAGTCATCATATACAGTGTATATGCTTTGATACTTCAGCTTTTAACACTGGAAAGCACAAAGGAGTTATAACAAGAATGGCCGATAAGCTGGGAAGGCCACTACTTTTCCTTGCCTGTAGACATCATATATTGGAAAGACATATTACTCACTTTAACAAGATATATCCCAGTAGTAAAATGTCAGGTCCAGAAAACCAGCTCTTTAAACACCTAAAATCTGTCTGAGATGTAATAGATAACAGGGTCTACAAAAGATTAATTACAGTTTTGTAGTAACTTGCTTAAAATAACTTAAACAATCTGAGATGTCTCTTTAAACACCTAAAATCTACAGAGATGTAATAGATAACAGGATCTACAAAAGATTAATTACAGTTTTGTAGTAACTTGCTTAAAATAACTTAAACAATCTGTATACACAATCATAATAAAATAAATCATAATTATAAATATAAAAAATCTTTTATTTTTAGGATGGTAAATCAAGAAAGGATTATCAAGAGTTAGCGGAACTATCTTTGATGGTAGTTTCTCAAAAAGATAGGTTCAAATTTCATATTCCTGGTCCAATACATCATGCAAGATTCATTTCAAAAGCATTGTATTATCTTAAAATGTATTTACTATTGATAGCTATTCCAAGTTTATCAGAAGAAAAAAAAGAAGAGATTCGTGTAATAGCTATGTTTGTCGGTATCTTTTACACTCAATGGTTTCTTAGAGCAGTATCAGCAACAGCTGCGCCATATCAGTTTAAAAATAATCATTATAAATAAGAAAAAAGCAAAAAAAAAATGATGAGTTAATTTTCCAATTGATGACTTAATCTAATATTGTTAAATATATTTTTAGGATATGAAAGCTTTGTGGCAGATGAAGAGGTTCATAGATATAAATCTTCTTAGAGCTACTTTAGCAATAAAATCATTTGACAGACAC